TCACTTGGAAATAGCTGTTCACTATTTTATGCCGGGAGATTTGCTATGGGACTAGAGTGTTTAGCTGGATTACTGTTCGGTGCATATTTGAATTACCAGTTCTAGGACTTTATAACTGATTGGCTTTACACTAGGGGCATTTGGAGATCTACCTAGTCTCCAATATAGTTGCTATAGCTTTTCATATTCCATCTATAGGTGGCGTATATGCCATATAGGAGTATCTAACTTTTGGTATTGCCACTTCATTTGACCTCCCCTTCCTAGCCTACTGAGCTTCATTATCTCCTCATTATGTATTTATTTTTGGGGTAGTGTTTTTTTTTAAATTATTTATTATTATTTTTTGGTTTGTCTTTGTTTATGATGACTAATAAACTTATGGTTTTTATCTGTAATAGTATACTCTGAAATATCCTATCCGTGTATCCTGGGCATTTCTGCCCTAGGATCACTTTTTCTTTTGGCCTCCATTTCTCCCAGAGTTGCTACATGTTAGATTGGGATAATGTCACTGGGTTTGCTGTTGGGATTTGTGGAACTGTCTGTGTATCTTTGACACCTCCTGTGATTTACCAGACTTCTTTAAGTCACCATGTGTCTATTATAGATGCAAGGTGTGTATTATTTGTTAAATGTTGTGTACTCTCCTGATCTGCTTATGATTTCTACCAACTAGGTGGACTTGGCTGTGGAGTTATGTGCACTTCCTGAATAGCAAGACTCCGTAATTTGCATATCCAGATAGACTGCAGGCAGAGGAGATATTTCTAGTTAATTATTTTCTTCCTCACCCCTTTATAAATATGTTGTTGTGTTTTTATGAGTTCCTGTATGTTTCCCGGTATGATTTGGTTATTTGTATTAGATTGAGTTTGTCACATTAAGGTTGCTCGAATGAGCATATGGGCTGGTCCTGAGTAAAAATAAAGCTGAGTGAGTAAGTTCCTTTTGGAGCTGTGTGTCCTAGTTAATTTAATAAGTGATCCCAGTAACATAGTCTTCGGACCTGTTGGATGGCTGCTTAGTCCCTGGATCCCGAGACAAGTTAAAAAGAGCTAGGCCTGAGAGCCACAAGTGCCTTTTGTAATGGCAGTAGCTAGTCACAGTGCAGGCAGAGGTGTGGATACCTGCCCGGGAAAGAAGCTGAAGAGGCTACAAGGAGCTAAGTATTTTCATTTATATTTTTTAAATATAAATAGGGTTACTCCAAGCACCATGAACACTTCAGTGATTTGAAGGGGGTCATGGTGCTTGAAATCTGTGTGAGCATCATTTCATTATGAAATGCTATACATTCAGAGATATAGCCATTTGCTGCTAGAGGTGTAACTCCACCAGCAGTGTCGTTGGCAAGCTTCCTACATGACTAATGTTAATTCTGTGCATATTGGAGGTTTGTTGTCAGCACTCTGAGCATGCTGGAGACAGGTAACCGATGACAGCAAGGCTCCTCTTCATGCTGCCCAAGTCTCCCATCAGTCAGTCCTTCTTAACACTCCTACCCTTCCAGTGAGGGGGAATGACATCACTACAGGAGGATAAGGCTGCCGGGAGAACTGGGCCTTTATACTGCAAAAGAAGTTTGTTTGGTTTTTTTGTTTTCTATATTACATTTTTTTAATTTATTTTTTGCAGGGGCTGTGGACAGGACTGTAATGGTTACTCTGACCAAAAACAGCATTTTATTAAAACAATTTTTAGGGTGGAGTAACCTTTTAATGCAAAGAAAGGGGGGGAAAAAGCCACACACATTGGTTATGTTCAGTTCATCCAGGTTATTATAGACAGAGCCTCAAACCCTAATCCTTCCGTTTGTCTGACACAAACGACATATTGTTGATGTTCCATTTACTGATTATATAGGATAATGATCAATGCACATGTGATCATCTATTGATGCACTGCAACATTATTTGCTCCGCATAGTTTTAAAACAATAACATTGTCATCTTTTTTGAATCCTTTTTAACAGCTGGAACAAGTTGACTTTTTCATCAGAAATTTTACTGCTGCACAAGCCAGGCAGCAAAAATGGCCTACTTGGACAGCGCACAAGTTTTATGTTTTCAATGTTGTGCCACAAAGTACGAGGCATAATAGCGTAAGCATGCAATGAGTGTGAATGGGAGTGAACATGCTTTATGGGCTGGAGCGGTAAGCTATACTGGAAGAGAGGGAGTTAGCAAGTGGCAAAGGGAATGGAATCGAAGAGGGCAAGTGACGTGGAATAAAAGGAAGTGTGGCAATGAATGTGGAACAAATACGACTGTGCATGGAATGGTAAATAACCATTTGAAATATAGGATAAAATAAAAAGAGATGACTAAATAGAGAGATTATTGCGTGCCAGTTCTCTGACGAAGCTGGACAACATTGAATGACATCCTGACGAAGCCGGAAGGCGAAACGCGTAGATGTACAACGTATTGATGTCACACGGTGGGCAGCACCTTCATTCTGCGCAATTCAATTGGGCAGTGTCTGGAAAGCTACCAACAAAATCGGTGCAGTGTGAGCGGGGACGTGAGGTTACTACCACTGAGCAGTTACGGACGCAACCCATCTCATCTCCACAGTCTTTATACCAACAAGCTTTTGTGAGTAGCGGTGCATTCGGCTTGCATATACTCACCTACTGTGATTCTGTAAGCAGCTGCACATTCATTGTGTGTGTGTCTATTCATGTAATAAATTTTTTCATACTTATTGCATGCTGAAAGCTGTTTAATCTATACTGTACTAGTATGGTATATTGCATCAATTGATATATACATATTGCACAGTTATTTGTTATCTGCTGGTTATCCACATTTTATGGTTTATCTAGAAGTACACTTAACCTGTTATTTGCGCGCCACTTATCACATACCAAATTCTTTATTTTCATCTTAATGTGCTGAAGCTTTTCTGGAGTTAAAGCACTTAGGCGTTCAGCAGCATTTGTATATATTTAGTGCATATCACTTTTTATCAAGATATATATATTTATCTTTTTATTTCACACGGCACAAAACTGCAAATCTCGCTGTACAGACTCATAAGAGTAGAAGTGGCCATGATGGTTGGAGTAACTCTTTAATGTAGCGTCAGCCCTGTTTTTGTCACCCTTCCCCGATGGTGTCAACTGGTGAGGTCTGCAGCCCCCTAGTGACGCCAGTGCTAATGAGACCGTAAGTACAATAGTTGTTTTTTACTTAGTGCTTAAAGTTGTGGCTCCTTGTATAGTGATTTGTCAAAGTGATTCTGGGAGTAATTAGTCAAAATGTGTGCAGTGTCCATGTCTACGTGGACTATATTAATGTAAATTACTACAATATTAACTTACATTTTATTATAGTTTTTTTTATTTTTTTTATTCAAAGGGAGTGAAATATTGCTTCCTAAAGTAATCCACAGATAGAAAGTGTAAAACCCACTCTAATAACAGCAACAACATCCTACCAAAAATGAATGATATATAGGATTTATAGTCACCAGAGACCAAAAGAGAATTATTGCCTTTATCACAGAGAAAAATAAATAAATTAAAGTCTTACATACAAATCCCCATATCATTGTTTTATTGCACCAATAAATTATTTTGAAACCATGTGTGCACAGAGCCCAGTATCTATTTAATTATACATCTAGCACTCTGTGGGTTGAGGTAACAATCTAGCATTGCTCACTGAAGGGTTAACGTTCTGCAGTTAGCTATTGGGTTGAATGAATCACCCAGTAACATTATATCAGCAATGAATGAACCTGGGTTTAGTATTAGAGGAAGCAAACAGAGCATTCAGTCAAGGGGTACTTACCTGGGAGGAGAGTTGTCCCAAAAGGAGGCAGGAGGGCCCATAGAGTGCAATGAAGATTATTAGGCCGAGACATCTAGTCACTGTTAAAATCCCCGAGGTGACCCTTTAAGAACAGAGCAGGTCCCTTCCTCCTGTCTGTCTCTCTCTGCCACACTAACACTGCACAGCAACAAGCAATGCACCGCTCAGAGGGGCTGGGGTTTAAGGGAACTGGGGAGGGACTCAGGAACTGAAACAGAGCTACACATAGGGGAACAGCATGAGCAGGGCTGGGTGGTGAAATGGACAGAAAATGACAAGGTATGTACTGAATGAATACAGCTGTGTGCTTTAACAGAGGATGCATGAGAAGAAGAATGTGTCTGTGAAGGTAAGATTGCATGTGTGTGAAAAGAAAGAGTTAGATCTTATCCTCTTACTCAGACTGAAACAGAAGGTTTCTTTAAGTGATATTCAATATGTGACATGATCTGACACTAGGGGTATAAAGGTGGTAAAAACAGCTGGTCACTTGTAGAAAATTGAGTTTGATCTGCAGAAGGTCTGTGTACAAGATTTTTATAAATTGTGATATTAATAAATATCTTGTATAATTAGCTGTTCTTTATGGAAGATCCTTCCAAACTGCAATCAATATCCCAGCTACTAATATTAGTTCAGTATGCTGGTTAAAAAGGAATTTAATTTTATTTTTTTTACTTTTTTTTTTATGTAGTCCATTCTCAACTGTTCTAGAACTACAAATACTGTGGTCACCTGCCTGTTTTAAATAATAATAATAATAATACGTTGCCACTTCTGCTTTAGACAATAAAAGATAGAAAGTGAAAGATCTTACCATGTAGAACCATTCACTGTGATTTGTTAGGGATTCAAAGTTAATTTACATTTTTTTTTGGCTAAAATGGCCAGGTTGTGAAAAGCCAGGTCTATTTTCAGTTTTGATTAAAATGTTAAATTAATTTTGAATAATAAGAATTCAGAAAAGAATGTGCCACAAATGTTTTTTCTAATAATAGAAGGAGGCTAATGACGGGGCCTAGGTATGAAAAACTAATAGTAAGTAACTGCGCAAATTATAATTGGGCCTGTCAGGGTTATTCACTAAATTTAAGTGGAATCAGCGAGTGGAATTTGTAAGCCAAAATTTGGGCGATGTTTCTGGTTTCCTGACATTTGTCCATTCCTTCTGCCTACACTGATTCAGGTGCCTCATCCCACCAATCACCTGACCTTATTCTGGATTGCTCCATTGATACTGCACCAGTGAAGGCCCTTTGCTACTGATTACAGTCCTGAAGAGCTATTTTTTCCTTTCTGCCTCCTATGACTGTTTATTGGTGGGGAGTGCACCTTGTCATTTACCAGCAATGCTCAGAGAAATTGCAAAAATAACGAGAGTAATATCTCAGACTCTACATGCCTCAGTTAGAATGTTAAATGTTAAAGTTCATGACAGTACAATTAGAAAATGACTGAACAAGCATGGTTTGTTTGGAAGGGTTGCCAGTGAAAACCTCTTCTCTCTAAAAAGAACATGGCAGCTCGGCTTAAGTTTGCAAAGTTGCATCCAAACAAACCACAAGACTTCCGGAATAATGTCATCTGGAGAGACGTGACCAAAGTTGAGATGTTTGACCATAATGCACAGTGCCACATTTGATGAAAAACAAACACAGCATATCAGCACTTACCCCTCATATCAACTGTCAAGCACGGTGGGGGAGCGGTGATGTTTTTTGTTTGTTTTACAGCCACATGACCAAGGAATCTTGCAGTCCTAGAGTCGACCATGACCTCCTCTATACCAAAGTATGCTAGAGTCAAATGTGGGGGCATCTGTCCAACAGCTCAAGCTTGGCTGAAATTGGGTCATGCAACAGGACAATGATCCCAAACACACACGCAAATCTGAAACAGAATGGATGACAAATATAAAGAATCAAGGGATTGCAATTGTCCAGTCAAAGTCCAGACATCAACCCGATTGAAATGCTGTGGTGGTAGTGGTGCATAAAGAAATGCCAGCAAACCTCAATGAACTGAAGCAACGTTGTAAAGAAGATCAGGCCAAAATTCCTCCACAAGAATGTGAGAGACTGATAACGTCATACAGAAAACTATTACTTCAATTTGTTGTTGCTGCATAGTTCTACAAGCTATTCAGTCATAAGGTGTACTTCATTTTTCACGCATGGCTTCTCTATTTTGGCTTTATATTTATTAAATAAATCATGACACAGTGAGATGTCATGTCTTGTTCATCTGAGATTTTATTTACCTAATTTTAAGACCTGCTAAGGAAGAGATGATTATGTCTTGATATGTAAAACCATAGAATTTAGTATAGTGTTCTTTCTTTTCCCCATGACTGTATGTGTGTATATTATTTTAACACACACACTCACACACTCTCTCTCTCTCTTTATTTATGAAGTTGCCAACAGCAATTCAAGGTAATCCTTCTACTGTTGCAGAACATGTCATTATATAAAGTGCTTACATAAGGTACATATCTCTCAGTTCAGTCGCAAGTAAATGACTTGATTTGTAAAAATAATTAATCCTTCCTCAGCTCACACAGTTTGTTTTAGGGGTCTCTTGGAAGATGACTTGTTGTTGCTGTAACGTAAATTTGAGAAAATAAAAATATTCTATAATCACTAAAGGTTTCTAGACATAGGAATCTGCACCATCACGAAACAGTGGTTAGATCCTTTAATTGAGTCTGGCACCTGAAACGTCAAACTACGGCTGAATGGTCACCAGACATAGAAATAGCAACATGTGTGAAAGCCTTTTCTAATTGCATCCGGTTTGTCTGGTTGACTTTACAGAATTCTAAATCAGGGCTTGCTACAATTAATGCATTATGGGAAATATAACTCTAAAACATCTGAGAGACAAAATTAAAGGACCACTCTAGGCACCCAGACCACTTCAGCTTAATGAAGTGGTCTGGGTGCCAGGTCCCTCTAGGATTAACCCTTTTTTTTATAAACATAGCAGTTTCATAGAAACTGCTATGTTTATAAATGGGTTAATCCAGCCTCTAAAACCTCTAGTGGCTGTCTCATTGACAGCAGCTAGAGGCATTCTTGATACTTCTCACTGTAAAAATCTGGCGAGAAGGCATCCCAGCGTCCATAGGAAAGCATTTTGTGAAGATACTTTCCTATGAGACTAACTTTGTCGCGGCGCGCTCACTGCGGCGACATGCATATTCAGCCCTAAGAGGTCGAGGAGGGAGGGAGGAGAGCTCCCCGCTCGGCGCTGGAAAAAAGGTAAGTTTAACCCCTTTCCTTGCCATCCAGCCCGGCGGGAGTGTGACCCTGAGGGTGGGGGCACCCTCAGGGCACTATAGTGCCAGGAAAAAGAGTATGTTTTCCTGGCACTATAGTGGTCCTTTAAGGATATCCAAGCCAATTCCTGGTCCCTGCAGGAGCTGCAGAGTTTCAGCAACCAGCACAAATATTTAATCTCTTTTAATGCACTTTCAGAATAAAGCATTTAAAAAAAAAGGTGCAATTAACAATGGTCAAAAATGGTATCTTAAATGAGCATTCCTTACAAACCTCATTAATCTTGAAATGGAAAGTAAATCGTTAAACAATACAAAAAGTAATAAACAAATTAAGTAGCAATAACAAAAATTTGAAAAGGGAATACTCAAACACATAAATATTGATTTATTTATAAAATATTTTATGAGGAAGGATACATTGATATTTCTCGTATGTCGTGGGCCAATATATTTAGTAAACTAAACATCTAAAAGTACATACCGGGGTACACGTTTAGTCCGCATTGCCTTCAGATCTTCCATTAAGGTGAAAGGAAGCCGTGCTCCTTGAAAAAGTTTTAAGTGGCCTTATTACTGCTAAATAGCATGGCTTTTATGGTTTGGGGATGAGCTGAACAAATCGGCACATCTACACATCACTCTAAATGTATTGGTAAGCCACAGGGAAACCTATTTAGGTTCTCAGCTGGGGAGCTTAGAATTTTTTTTAATTCAATATTTTTTTTAAAAAAGTACCCCGATAGAGGACAATATAAAAACAGTGAATAACAATCACATAAAAAAGGTAACATCAATAACACTAGTAAAGATAGAACTTAATTGGTATAAGACAGAACAAGAGTTTCTAGTAAATATCAAGTGCAAGCCCAAAAATGGAGTAGCAAAAGGGGGAAGGTGGTAAGAAAGAGAGGAAGAGAGAAAAAGAAAACGAGAGGATATAACAGGTAAGATGGTATTTAAATTGGTTAGGCTAGTAGGCAGACAGGCGCGTCTCCACAGAGGCCATACTGAACCTGGTTTTAAACCAAATATAATGAGCACGGTTGATCAGAATGAGATGAATGGCTGGGCGAATCAGAGCCAGCAGACCGAGAGGACTATCCAATGGAACCAAGTGAAAGTATTTTTGGATAGTTATCTATAGCTGATATAGTTTGCTCTTCTATTGAGCGTATGTCTTCAAATCTACTAATCCAATTTTGAATCGTGGGAACCACACTTTGTCTCTGCATTAATGAGGTATAGGAGCATAGTCTTACCATAGTTAAAGGTCGGCAATGGAGATAATGTGTAACCGGTATGTATCTGGTGAAAACTGTACAGCTACATCTGTAAATGTATTTAGAACATCCTGTATGTATTTCCAAAAGGGCTGTAAGAGCACCGGCCAGCATATTATGTATGGTGTTATATATTTATAAGTTTTGACTATTTATAATTTTTTTGTGTTTTTTTAACTCCAAATCAGCTATTTGTTTCTAAATTTTGGAATTCTGTTTTCTACAGTTTGTTGTTTTTTGTGAATAAACCTTTTTGTGTTAACGTAGTGAGAATCGCTGTTCTGGAATGTTCTCTCCTCGTAAAGCAAAAGCTTGCTTGTCACAAGTAAATAGCAGCTGCTCAGCTTGTGCCCTGCATGGCCTTTCCCTTGGAAATATGAAGCACTGTTTGTGTCCCTCCAACGAGAACACATCATAATTATAGCTTTTAATTAAAAAGGAGACGGCCCACAGAAACATGGCGTTCACAAGTGATCACACACAGAATACAAAGGATCTTTCCTGTGTCAGAATGACCTGTTAAATGCATTTATAGAATACAGCACACTGAAATAAATACACATCTTTGTGTAAATGTTACAAGACTTACCTGTTATGAACTTTAATGCTTCTGCATAACAGGTAAGTCTGCATGTTAGAAATGTAGAGAGGCCCAGGGTCTTCATGATAGTAATGATGAGTCTCGTAATTGAGGTTTAAGCTCCACAAAGAACAGTTGCAAGTTCTGCAACCCTTTGAGTCAATAGTAAAGGTTATAAGTGAACCTTGTGAGTATTGTTTTTACACCAGGGAAAAAGATTGGGACTAGATAACTCTAGAACCTGTACCTATTTCTGGACTAATTGTTCAACTTTCCCCCTCTAAACAGATAGGGCTATGTTGGCCTGATGTTCACCATCAGAGGCTCCCGCACAGCTGGCTCAAAAAACCTACAGATCAGCATGGCCCGCCTTATAATCTGGAAAAGGAATGCAGGTGCAAAGCTTCCCATAAGGTTGCACACTGTCAGGATTACTAATTGATCCCGCACGCAGAATTGTATCATACCTAGGACTAAAGGGTAACATCTTACCGGGCCTTAGAATGGACGGACTTAACGTACCAGAGAATAGTCAGAATACTTACCGAGGTCAGGGATACCGAAAGAGAAGCAACGATAAGGGAAAGCCAAAAGTCAGGGATACCAGAATACAGAGAAGTCAAACAAAGCCAAAGTCAATAACCAGAAATAAACGCTCAGGCATACACTCTTGGACAACCACTAGGGAAACCACGACAGGGCAATGAGCAGAAGGAATAGGTAACCTTAAATACCCATCTTGTGGATCCGATTGTCCGAAACCAGCTTTTGACCTCAGAACGTGCATGTGCGTCTATTATGTGACGTCAGGTGCATGTCAACGTCTTCCATGCCGTGGGCGGACGTGGAGTTATAAATTAATGAGGATCCGCAGTGGCTGGCATCCATCAACATGCTGCAGGGGTCAGACACATCGACGCATGGCCGCTGAACGGCACTACCGTGTTTATAGGCAATGCAACTACTATCAATGTAGCAAGGTGAGGATGAACATGTGACAACAGACAGAGGGACACTTTAATTTTAGGAGTTTGGCTAGGACTGTTTTGAGACATTTCAGGTGACTTACTAATACTTTATGCAACTAAAGAAAAGAACAATGTATATTATTTACTCAGAGTGATTTCTAAATTACTTATTGTAGTTTAAACGCTTTCATACACTCTCACAGACCAACAAAATATAGCTCCTAGAAAAGGGGGACACAGTGATTTGGATCCAAAATAGGAACTGTCCCTCTTAAATAGGGACACTTGGGAGGTATGAGTTTGTCTTTAGCCAGGGACACTTCCTAGTTAGGTTAACAGATAAACAGGATAAACGTTTGATGACCTAATAGCACATTGGCAATTGTCTATCCACCCTTTGACCAGAGATAGGGAAATCTGAAGTCAGAAAGTTTAGGCCTGCTCCGAAGCCATCTTGTTACTGAACCCTTTAAAAGAACCACCATCATCGCACACTATAGGCATTGGTTAAAGCCACTCCTGGCACCAACGACAGTCCTACTGTGGCAAAACAGACCTCAGCTTGAATTTAGGATTTTGTTTTGCTCTGTGACAGGATTAGAACCCTAACTAGAAATTGCAAATCTTTCATGTTCTTAAAGGGACACTATAGTTATCAGAACAACTAGAGCTTAATGTAGTTGTTCTGGTGAGTATAATCATTGCCTTCAGACATTTTTATGCAAACACTGAGAAAAGGCAGTGTTTACATTGTTCCAAGGGACGACTCCAAGTGGCCACTCCTCAGATGGCCACTGTCGTTCAGGTTCCTTACGCTCTGCATGGAGACGCTGAATTTTCCTCGAAGAGATGCATTGATTCAATGCATATCAATGAAGAGGTGCTGATTGGACAAAACAGCATTTTGCCCTGCCCCCTGCCGATTTCAGCCAATCCAATGCTTTCCCCATGAGAAAGCATTGGATTGGCTAAAAATCAGCAATTCTGATGTCACCAAAGAGGTGGAGCTAGCGCCAGCGGACCTGCATGCTGGAAATAAGGTGAGTTTTAATTGCTTTTAAGGGGGCTAAGGAGGGGGAAAGCCACAAGGTTCTCTCACTGGCTCATTTTGTTTTTGCATATAGTAAAATATTGTTTACAATACCTACCAAAAGAAAACCCATATTATGAGACCCGAGTGCTGTTTTAAATGAACAGTGTAAGAGGACACTGTGCTGTAAAAATAGATCAGTTGTGCCCAAAAACAGTCTGACTGAACTTTGTGTACTAGTTTATGCCTTGTGCTCACTTTAGAATGACATCACATTATATTATTTAAAGGTGATACTATGTACACTATGTATTTAATATACATATAGATCGGTATGTTTACACTGCATGCAGTGCACAGCTTGTACTACATCTTGATGAGGTATGCTAAATGCAGTAGTTATAGATGTAAGGGATCATTGCAGCACAAAGGTTACAATCTAAAATGCAATTATCAGAAACCAAACTAATTAATATATTCAATGCTGATTTATTGGTTTAAGGCATTACCCCTTTCAGTTCTATGAATAGGGGCCAACTCCCGCCCCCGCCCCCTCTCACCCCCCATAGAACAGACAAGAATTAAATTTTCTTGGCCTTCGTTTAGTCCATACTTATGTCTAAAATAAAGTTAAGCTCACCTCACCCAGTGCCATTACAGAGAGAACTTTACGTTCCTTACAAGAATAATTTTGCCTACAAGGGAAATCAAGAATATCAGAGCGAAATACCAGGTATTTATATGACCGTGGCCAGGAAAATCGGGAATGATCTTTTTATAGCATAAAGAAAAAAATAAATTTCTACATTACGATGGTCTCAACGGACCATTCTTAAACAAACTACAACTCCCTCAACTGCTCACAGAAGCTAGGGATATTCTGGGTTCCCCTTTTACAGCTGAGGAGGTGGATGCAGCTATAACTTTGTTGTAGATAATTTACTGCAAACCAATTAGTTTGAATGACTATCTGTTCCTGTCCAAATTAATGATAATAAAGTTGCGTGCACGCAGAAGTAAATTCACACTGAGACACAAAGTTCAGGTTAATGAAAGAACTTCGGAGAAGTTTAATGGCTTCTGACAGAAAATGGGTGCGCAGACCCTTTTAAAGGCATTATTACATCACTGAAGAATTCAAGATAACAGCAAATAGACACTATTGATTGGTCCAGGTGTTAAGTGGTTAGTTAGATACCCTCCTATCAAGAGGTGATGTCATCCTTGACACGGGAGTGGACACAAGATGTAGCGCCATCTTGTTAGCACGAGGTGTTCACTCGATGGGAGGGGTGCTTTGGCAGCCATTTTGAGTAGTTAGTATTGTTAGCTTCAAGGTTCTTTTAGTAAATACACATTTTATTATTCAGCACATTTCCTCCTGACAAAGCATTAGCTTAGATAATTTCAAGAATTCTATAATTCTACAACAACTTCACTGAAGGAGGGTAAGGCCCTGGGGCAGCATGGATTTGAAGGTGGATACTACAAAACCTTAAAAAATTAACTATCCCCACAACTAACTTCCCTCTTCAATGATTTAATGCAGGGAGGAACTCCCAATAGTGAAATTGCCCTAGCAAACATTACTACCCAAAACAGACAGGAACAACACACTTCCTGAATCGTATCGACCAATCTCATTAATAAATCACGATGCAAAACGCTTATCAAAAATCCTGTTGTGCAGACTGAACCCATACCTAACACTCTAGTTTTAAGCAGACCAGGTGGGTTTTGTCTCTGGGAGACAGTTGTTCGAGAACATTAGAATGAACATTGATCTGATATGGAAGTTAACAACCACAGAAACCCCAGCATTAGTACTATCACTTGATGCTGAAAAGGCATTTGACAGAGTAAAATGACCTTATATGTTCCAACTCCTAAAACACTTGGATTTCCCAGACCCCTTCATTACCACAGTGTGAGCAATGTACACAGATGTTACAGCACAAATTAAAATCACTGGGGCGCACAGCAAGCCATTCATGCTAAGCAATGGTACGAGACAGGGATGCCCTTTCTCGCCACTATTGTTCATAATATCCCTGGAGCCTCTACTACAGGCAATCCGCAATCACCCCTCCAATCATGGAGTAACTATACAAAACAAAACAAAAAAAATTGTAGTATCGGGCTATGTGGTCGACATTCTCCTCACACTAGCGAACCCAAGAGAATCAATGCAAGCCTTGGTCCCGCTCCTGACCTCTTATGATGAAATATCAGGTTACAAAGTGAATATGGAGAAATCCGGTGCTCTCCCCTTGGGCCTCTCGGTGACCGACGCGGCACATATTGATGACACCTACAAAATACGAATGGCACACAATCACATCAAATACTTAGGGAATAACCTCACTGCTGATCAGGAGAAGCTATATCAAGCCAATTACAACCCTCTCTTGAGGGCTCTCACGGGCGACATGGAGCGAT